CGGGCGCTGGGAGGCGGGTCGCACCTCTGTTCAGGCCCTCGGAGGCCGCGCTCCCCCTCGGCAAAGTGTGAGCCCCGCCGGGCGGACAGAGGCCCACACTCTCGGCCCCAGCCGTCGGACAAGCCTGACGACCGTTCCTCAGCTCTTTGCCCTACCTGGAGGTCTCTCCCAGATCTCACCTTCTCCAGGGAGGTTCCACTCACAGGTTGTCAGCTGAAGGCTTCCCTGACCGACTTATTTAAAGTAACACCCTCGTAACACCCTCGGCCACACTCGCTCTTTTTCTTTACAGCCCCTATGGCTGTCGGACACGCTGTAGTGTTTTGTTTTGGGGGGTTTTCTTGTTGTTGGTTTTTTTAGGGGTTGTTTGTTTTGGTTTGGTTTGGTTTTGCTCGCTTGTTGTCTGTCTCTTTCATTAAAATAAAAGTTCTGCCAGAGCGGGGATGTGTATGTGTCTTGCTTACTGCTATGTCCAGGTCCAAGAGCAGTGCCCGGCACGCAGGAAGCCTCGAGACCTATCTGTGGAGTGAGGGTGACCTGAATGCCTTGTTTACTACTGTTTCACTCTGTCGCTCTTTTCTGAGAATTCTTGCCTCCTCCAGCGCAGCTCTCGAGGTTCTCAGGGCCAAGGGTGGTGGAGGATGGAGGAACAGAGTCAGGAAACAAAAGCTGAGGTCAGGTGGAGCCCTCTCTCCAGAGGGGTGCTCAGGACTGCAGCGCCTTCATTTATGCAGGGGGCAGGCTGATGTCACGTGCCCCTCCGCCGGGCAGCCTGAGTAGTTTCGAGGGTAACTTTATAAACGTAACTTGAATAGTTCCTACCCAGCAGATCTAACACTTCCATGTGTCAGATAGCACATCAGGGAGCTGTTCGTCTGTTTCATTACTAGGCACACCACAATCAATTCACTATCAGCACAGGACCCTGTGGCCAAGCGTACTGGCCGCTAATCACCCCAGTAGGTTATAATATAGTCATCTTGTTCACCTTATCCTCAGGTCAGGTGCCTGCCCCTCTCCTCTCAGTTGTGCTATTACTTCCCTTGAAGTAAGGTTGCCGATGCCAAGAGAACATCTCCCGCCCTCCCCTCCACCGCTGGGCTGTGAGGGAGCCATGTGGCGTTTTTCAAAGAGCTCACTTCCCTTTCCCTATTGCCTTGAAGAAGACAGCCCCTTCCTGGGCACTCACAGGAGTACCTAACCCGCGCACCGCCACAGCCCACCTCCCACGTCCGCACTCAAGGGCCAGCAGCACCGCATCACTTAAAAGTTTCCTAGCCCTGTGACAATAGGTTTCATTCCGGCCCTGCTGAGTAGAACCTAAAATTTAATAAGACCCCAACACCAGGTGAATCACACACACGGTAAGGATTGAGGGAAATGTCTGTCTGTCTTCTTTGATCCTGTGGATGGAACCCAGGGATGCTCTACCACTAGGCTACATCCCAGTTCTCTTTTTATTTTTTATTTTTTATTTTTTTGTCTTTTAAGACAGGGTCTCACTATGCAGTTCAGGCTGGCCTTGAGCTCACTTTGTAGCCCAGTCTGGTCTCGAACTCACAACAATCCTCCTGCCTCAGCCTCCCTAGTGCTGGGATTACAGGCGTGCGCCACCACACCCAGCATCCCAGTTCTCTTAATTTTTTTTATTTTAATTCAAGGTCTCACTAGTTGCCCAGGCTGGCTTTAAACTTGCAATCCTCCTGCCTCAGCCTGCCAAGTAGCTAGGGTTACAACCATTTGTCACTGCATCCAGCTCAACCTGATACCAATCACAGGCCACTGTTGAATCCAAACCAATAGACTATTCATACCACTCCAGGAGGGGCCACCTAATAAGAATGCCCAGGTCCTGGCAGGACGCATCAAATGAATCAGTTTGTCCTCATGGTCCCCAGGATTCTCCCAGCATCAGTTGTAAACTCCTGCAGCCTTGGCGTGTATGCTCTTGTCCTTGGAGACAGCTTGTATTTCCCTGTGCAGGTTATGTTAGGGCTCTCACTACGGGCTTGGAGGCCACAGTGGGTCCTTAAGAGAAAGGCCTGGGCTTTTTCAAGGAATTACCAAAAATGTTTTGAATAGAAGAGAAGGCTGGGTCCTTCGTGGTTTGCAAGGGAAGGGGAAATGATGTTCTGCCAGCAAGGAAAGTTCAGGTGGGTTTTGAAGTCCAAACTTCTCAGCTTTGTTCATGCCTGCCCCAGTCCCCATCCCAAGTCTCAGAGTCCTTCCCCTCCCCAACAGTGCTTTATTCTACCATAAGGAGTGTGACAGGTTTGTGCCTGTACCTGGCGTTACAGCTGTGCAGCTCACAGTCAAGTCGTGGGTTTGATCCTCGGGC